ACAGCACGTCTAGTAGCCACCTTAACCCAGCTAGGTCAGGTAGGAAAAGCCACGAAGCTCTAAGAATGAGCTCAAAGTGCCGTGACTGATGAAACAGATGAATAATTATGTTCCAAGACTGTACAAGATGTATCCCATGAGACTGGATGTTCACGTTACTGTTACTGATCTTAAGGGTCAGTAAACGAAGTTTGCGTGCTGCCCTTGCTGAAGTCGGCTCCGAACTCGCGTAGAGATGTTTGGGACCTAGATTTTGAAAACTGGGTGGTTGCATGGGTTTTCTCATTGTTGAATGGACTAACTCTTACTCAGATAACTATTTCCTTTCTCACAGGATTAGTATCAAATGAAGCCAAACACATGGCTTCATATATGGAGAAGGGTTGGAGAGACAGAAGATTGTTTTGTGGGTGCTGTTGAACACAATGCAGAGCAGAGCGGAGTCTCCTCTGAATGTAAATCAGAAGGAATTAATTCTACAAAGAGACACTGAGGGAAAGCCACCAGAAAACTGACACTGAGTTCTTAATGTATATTTCCTGCCATTTATGAAGAATTGTATTAAAAGATAAATGCAAACACGATCGTTAGAAGTTAAGCATAATAAAATTGAGTGATTTTTATTTATACCTATTATGGTAAATTTTAACATGTGGTATATGTTACAATATCAGCATTCACGACTTACTTAGGATCTAAGTTACTGTACTGAGTTTTTGTGCTCTAGATTTATCAAGGTTTTGGCAAAGATTTTCTTCTTCAAGCGTCTCCTGAGAAATAACTAACTGGAAACAATTAAATATTGTGGCCCAGTGATAATTAGAAAGTAAGCACTGGGGACAAAATCTAGAGGTTGTGATTACTATGCTGATATGCGTAGATTCTGTTAAGGCTTAAGTTTGGAGTTGTTTGGGTTTTTTTGACTATGTAGTTATCGAAACACTAAGCCTTTTTGTTTTATGTTTGCATCTCTGAAAAAAATGATTGACAATAAATGTAGGATTGCAACAGCTTGAGTCCAGATCATGGCAAAACCTATTTCTCTGTCTTACAGTAAGATAGAACACAGTTACAGTAGCTATCTAAATGCTATGGCAAAAATGTTGTTACATGTTTTAGCTGAGTGGCATTACCCTACAATAAAAATTTGGACTGAAAAGCTATTGACCACAGGGAAAAAGTGGATACACCAAGTTTTACCTTCCTTAAATATTTGTCTAAAAAGTTCCCATTATGATATATATATTAGACACCCGCATTACACGAAGCAACTAGAGAAGAATCCTAATGGACTTGGGATCTTCACTACTGACAATTGACTTTGCTCTGATCTAACAGGAGCATTTAAACATGGCTGGGCAGAGCACGCACACGTCTCCATTGACTTTTTAATTTAGCCTCACGTGTACCTGCCTGTGAAATACATCCTCCTATGTGTATGCATCTCACTGCTCAGCATAACAAAGTAAGTAACATTAATGGCTTTCTTAAAAGACCTTTTATCCCACAAATAATAAACACATAATAACTGTGTATTGAATTTTAACATTTCCATTCACCAAAAAATCCCTAAGCTCTTGACAAACTGATACAGAACTGCATTGCTTTATTGACCAATTAAATATGGTTACTTCTATGATTAAGTAAGTAATTAGAGCTGCACAGTGCAAGACAAAATAGCAGAAATCCTAATCTGCAGCTCGTAATAATGCAAGCCATCTCATTAAAATAAGTGGCGAGAGTAGGAATGGGATTACTGTATTAAAATGCAGAAGGATTGCAAGACCTGGCTCCACCTTATAGCCTGATCAAGACCCACTGAAATTAAATGGGAACTTTCATCCATTAGGCATTAAAAATAAAGAAACTGTAATCTCCTCCAGCTGAGATGCAGGAAGAGAGACTGCATTGTTTGGCAGTGCATGTAGGTCAGCTTTTTCACCCTAACTGCAATTTTTGACATACTGGTCTTCCCAATCTGTCTTTAAAGGTAATTGCATTACATTATTCCTATATAAATAAAAATAAATAAATAGTAAATATATTTGAAATACAGATATTGATTTTATAGGTTTTTTAGTACAAATCTACGTTAGCATTTTCTTTAGCTTTCAAGTACCATGTCATATATATAATACATATAAAACAGCATATAATTGCAACCTTAAGTGCTAGTGCAACTAGTGTTGAGCAACCCATTTATTTCTATAGCTACAAATAATTTGGGCATATACGCTATTTTGTTAACCAGGAAGAGAAGCAATTTTGAGTTTTGTTATCAGGTTTTTCTTAAGATCAGTATGCCATCCAAGGTTTGCATTCAGATTGCAGGGTTTGCAGTGAACAGTTCATCAAGGAAAACAGATTTTCTATTCTCTGAAATATGTATGTTATTGTTCAGAAATGCTGCTATAAGTAATTAAGTTTTAAAGAAAGCTTTTGTGTCACTGAACACTACTTATCTAGCAATGCTGTACCGTGAAGAAAGCATCTGCCTGCTGTATCTTTGCTATAGAACTTTTCAATCCAAGTCATCTCCATGGCTCCACTCATCTTCCCTGTGACAGGGAAAGTACTGACAAGAAGTGGCACGGTAACAGTAAATCAGTAAGGAGACCAGCTCCTCACCACAGACTGAGCTCTGAAAGGAAGGGTCAAATTCAGTTCTCATTCACACACATGAAACCCCACTAGCTGAAATGAACCAGCGAAACTGCAGGCTGAATATACAGCTATCGACAACTATCATTATATGCATATGAAGGTGAAAGAGCTCCAAGATACAGGTATTTCTAATACATGTTACTAGAACTACTAGATGTGGTTTAGGTAAAAAATCCCAGATTTTGCCTTTGTGCAGTGTAGTGACATTTCTACAACACCCTCCCTGATAAGTGCATCACTGCATGAAGACTTGTCTTTGCAGGTCTCTTTTTAAAACCTACTGGATGCACCACTGTTTCTTCTTTGCATGTCCCTGTAATTCTAGTTTGCCTTTTTTTTTCTTCTGTGTAACCACCAAATTAAAAGTTTGATAATGCCCCTTTCTCTCTCACTTGAATAATTAGATTTTGCTTCTTATTACAGCTAAATATCTACCACATCAGATTCAATCACTTCCCCCATTATTTTTTTCACTGACCCATTTTTTTTGACAACACACGTCCCTCCCGAAGCCCCAGTGTATTTTCTTTTTCACCTGACTCCCAGCTACGTTAAGGCTAGCATTAGTGGTACCACTGGCTTGTTTTGTAAATAGCCTCTCTTGACAAATAAGTGAAACCGCAGGTGCCCTCTCCCATCGCCACCAGGATGCGGCCCCGGAGAACGTTACTCTCTAGACAAAGACACTGAAGAGAGGAAACTCGGCTTGGTTGGGTTGCAGCAAGTCAGTCAGGAAACACACAGTTCCCGAGAAGCCTTCATACAGACTATATACACTTTCTAATGCTCGGGAACCAGCCTTAAATTCTTCTGTAAATAAGAACTCTGCAAACCTAAGAAACAGGGAAAAAAAAAGAGAGTTTGTTATTGTTTGGTGTCCTTGTATGTCTACTTACTTGTTGTTTGAAAGCATCGTTATAGTAACATTCAATGATTTAAAAAAAGTAGAATGTTCATTATTTTACCTTATGTGGAAATTTAACTCTCTGATTTCCACAATAAACTGAGGTCCATGAGATCTAGAAAAGCCAAACCTTTGCGATCTGTACATGTGTTACGCTTCTTTGAGAGCTATAAACTTTTTCTGATGCCTATGAGACATACTATTAAACAAATACTTTTTAATAACTTTTATCTTGGTT